GGGAGTCTTTTGCTTTCTTTTCTGGTTTTGCATATGAATTGAACAGATGATAGAGAGGGATATACATGTAATATATCATATTGATAGCACACATGTTTGTATATGGAACTGGATTTGTCTTTAAACTTATAGATCAGTATAATAGATTGGTGTGTAAAAAAAATCAAAGAGGTGGCAATTCACTTTTGAAATCTTATTGTACATTTCACATTAAGTATTTTGACCGTTTGATTACAAAAGTTTTTTATTCTCAAATTCACAACCACAAGAAAAAAAGTTTCAAAGAGTTCTTTTCATTTTCTCGTGCAAAAAAGAGACCAAATCTCCAGCTCAAGAGATTTTGTTCTGCTTTTTAAACTCAAGGTTGGTTACGTATCAGGCAACATGATGCAGTCAATGGCTCGTTTGCATATTCCAGTCATCGTTGCTTCTGGTCCATATACCTGCAATCATCAATCTTTATAAGCAAGTTTTCGGGTTTCTGAGAAATTCACACAGCTGCTAAGTTTCCATAAGTAGTTTGGTTACCTCTAGAGGAACACCGAGTTCCTCTCCCAGAGCTCGCATTCTAGCCAAGCCAGTCTGGTAATTTGGTCCACCTCTCCTTACGTAAATATGCATTCTTGATGCTTTCAACCTTGTTTCCTGCTCGTCGCATAGAAAAACAAATCGATACAATCGTTAACATTCATTCAATTGTTAGGAATTCCTCCCATGTTTCGTCCAAATGCAGTATCTACTGTTCATTCAATAAAAGTTGTTGAAAGAGTACCTTTTCTCTTAGAGCTCGAATGATACCGTTGAAAGTAGCTGCCACATCAGTGAAATTGGCAATGCCTCCTCCAATTAGAAGAGCTCGTTTACGCCCATCAGGATCAGCAGTAGCACACTGAGAAAGGCCGAATGTTTGGTCCATCAGTCTCTAGATTTGTATAGAGAAAAACAGAGAATGGCAAAAGCTAAGTTGTTTGCCATGACTCACATCAATGACAACTCTTGCGTATTGTAACACCTCTTCCTCATTAGGTGCTCCACTATACTCCGCGTAGTTCCCGAGCTCTGATGCATAACCTAAATCCCCAACCTTGTCACAAAGAAGATAAGGACAACACAAAGAAAATCAGTGTGACAAATTCTTTGGGGTCCTCATAATAACACTTTCTCAAAGGAAAAGTTTTCCCGTCTTAGTCTTATGAACTACCGACTAAGACACTAAGTTGATTAGTTCTACCCAAAATGGCAACAAACTTGCAACTCACAGTATCAGCATATATGACGCTAGCACCGCCACCAGCTACCATTGTCCAAATGCGGCCTTTAGGATTCAAAACAGTGAACTTCAAAGAAGCACTTGTCTGCAATAAGTTAGTACACCCACAAAATGATCAGTAAAATTACTTTTTCTTCTCAGTTACAAAAAGCGGTGTTTTAAGACGAGCCGGCAGCTTATACCTTCTCATCTAAACCGTGGATGAAGCTTTCCGTTGGACTGCGGACCCTTCCAAATGGCAGAGGAAATTCAATGTCTCCCCATCTGAATAGAAATAACTTGTTAAAATGATTGAGGATTGCTCAACAGGGAACTGAGAATTCTATACATACTTGTTAAAATTCTTGAAGGCAGCAGTATCGTCCAATTCTCCTCTCATATCCAAAGGATACGGCTCTCCGTCAACCAGTGTAAAAGGATTCATCTCGAAAAAACTGAAATCCAAATCTTCATAGAAAACACAAATAAATAAGATAATGTCCCCAAATATCTCGTACTGGTATTTGGACAAATGCTTGAAAGTCAAGATCAATAAGTGGCCTAATATCATATATCCATACCTTGAAATACAGCAAACACGCCCATTATGAAGTCACCGATTTTACCTCGAACCTGAATATATAGAAACATTAGTTAGAGAAGGCTTAACATATCTCTTTGAAAAATACTGCAGCACTGAGCAGCCTTAAATTCAGCCTAGCAGATATTTATGCATAGGAATGAAATTAGAAAACCACAGAAAATGTATGTAAATCAAAGCTTCTCTAAGACAGACTAAAACTTCAGTCTCACAGTGTCACTGGCTTCCATAAATACAGCGAATAGAAACTTACCTCAAGAGGAAGTGTTGCTATCAATGGAGCACATACTTCTAGCGTCATTGACTTCTCCGCGGGAAGAAATATACTCTTCACCTGTGGATACCAGAAACCGTGAACTTTATTATCTTGATTGGCGTGAAACAATAGAACTGAGTCGACAAAG